TCTTGGGGCGGCACTGCCGTCACCCTGCCAGCCCCGCTCAGCCGCCGCTGCACGCCAGCACCTGCCTCACCGAAAAAAAAAAGGCAAGAGGAAACGAGAGAGTTGACACCGGGGTTCTTTTAATGCAGTAGCTTTTAAAATGCAGCCTTCGAATGACTCAGAAGGGTCAACGATGAGAAACAAGGGATCTTTTCTCTGCAACGTGACCGTGCGGCACCTCTGCCCCCGAAACCCACCCGCCACCCCTGCTCCTCGAGGTCATCCTCCGACCGTTTTTACAGCGACTCACTGCTCCTTCACAGCAGACACGGCACACGGGGCAGCCAAATCCTCCAAAAGGGGCTCATTTGGGCAAAAAATACACAGGGTGAGCCTTCAAGGTGACGCAACGTTCATCCGGAGAACTTAAAAGGACGGGCAGCACGAGCAGCACCTTTCTCTCTCTCCCCGCACACTCGGGCATAAACCTCCAAGGGTATCCGAACCGCCAGCTCCTGCGTCAGGAAGAGCTGTGGACTCCAAGCTCCCGATTCTCCCTGTGGATCTGTGCCTTCACGCTATGTAACGTGACTGGAGAACGGCACGCCTGGCGGCGTGTTCTGGCTGAAAGGGATGGCAGGGGAAGCTGATTTTCCAACCCCTCGCTCCTTGCGATCTCACGCTGCTCCGCACGTTGACTTTACGGACCGGCAGGTGCTGCAGACGGCGGCAGTTTGCCAAGTTAAGGAACAGGGGAAACGCTGCTGTGGCCTAAACGTCGGCGAGAACGCACCCCGGCACCACCTCCACGCACGCAGCATGTACACGCCCTCGCAGGACAGACCCCGCTTGCTGAAACCCGTTTCAACCTCCCGGTCCGTTTGGTTTTCGCTCCGTGGACTTGCCGCGCAGCCCCTACGCGCCGGAGAACGCCGCCGGCGTTTCAGCCGCCCTCTCCTTTCCGCTGTTTCAATACTGACGGCGGCTGCGCTGCCACTTCCCTGGTCCTGGCCTCGCGGAGTCACGGGACGGCTGGGGAAAAGAAACTGCGCCAAGGCCCAGGCCACACAGAATTCCCGAATCCGCCGTGCGATGCCGCTGCTCTCCGAGGAAGGGAGCCTCCCTGACGGGGTGCCAGCTCTCCCGCACCACCCCTTCCCATCAAGCTTGTTTCACTAGTAGCTTCACACACCGGAAGCCAGCTGGGTCTACTGAAATACAACACAGTGATCCGAATGAATTTTCAACGCCTCTCTTTAAGGACTGACGGGGAGTGAGTGGGCTCGGTCTCCAATTCCAGTAATAAATCGTGGATTCAGATTTGGAACAGGCTGGAGCTCTCCTTGAGTGTGAGGGGTAGTTCTCCCGCGACCGAACGTCGCAATTAGAAAGTGAGCGTAGAAAGAGCCCCCAGGGGAATACGAAAAGGGCATCACCTTATGAAAAAGCTTCAGAATGAACCCGTGGAATAAAGAGCAACCAGACAATCGTCTTCTACAGGAGATGGAAGGAACAGTAGAAGAATATAACAACATCTTATACAGTCAGTGAGTCAGTCTGAGTGTAGAGGGGCACAGGATGCCTGGAGATCCGTGGTGAAAGCTCGTGGCCAAAACCAGCTGGTCCCCTCCGGTCCCAAAGGAAGCCGGAGCTGTGACTCACTCTTCGCCAGCCGGAAGATTGTCTTCAATCCGCCGGATGAACTTCATCCTTATCTCTGTGACGCTGTCACCCTTCAGTGTGTCCTGGACAAATTTGACATCTACGGCCATCTGAACCTAGGTGAGGGAAGAGGAGAGCTGTTATCTCCCAGGAAGCAGCAGCTGCCCTAGGAACCCACCGACGCTGAAGCAGCAGCCTAAGGACTCCGAGGGCATGACACGCAACGCAGAGCTCATCGTTTTCCAAGGTCACATCCTCCTTGGACACTGCGGCCTACGTGGTGGCCAGCGGGCACCTCACCTCAGCAAATGCACCTCCTATGGCGTAACCAGCTCCCCCTGCAGAGATCAGAGCCCGCTTAACCCCATCGCTCAGGGCCACAGGTCCTGCTGCTCCATGCATGTTCCTCAAAAATTTCAGCTCAGCAAGATAACGAAGCCTAAATGCAGACTCCTAAACCCGAGAGATAGCTGTTCCCTCCTTCCAGCAAATTCCTAACTCACGGCAGTTACAAAGGGAGGATTTTGAAGCTCATAAAAATCCAGTACAGGCTCGTGCCTGTACTCTGAGAGAGCAGCTGCGCACTCCAGTAGTTCTGGTCTTCTCCTGGGAATGGACTTCAATTCCAAAGCACACACAGAAGTCACGAACACAGACTAGACACTGAAGTGTCTGCTGACACCCTGGTCATTCACACATCCATCTCACTGGCAGAGAGACATGGGCTCACCATTTCCAGGGCACCACGCAGCACTCCGCACAACAGGTTGGAATAGATGAGAGAGGAGTGGTTGTCAGGGAGCTCAACGAAGTCCACCAAGGGGTTATTTTCCAAGATCAGGGAGAACTCATCACCTCCAGGACTCCAGTTGGTGATGCTCGGAGTGATGCCCAGGTACATTTTAAATGCTATCTGTTAGGTCAAACAGAGCAGGAACAAGAACATGTCCCATGAAGCAATAGCACAGCTTTGACCTTTGCCAAATTACTAAGGGGTGTGAAAACAGCCCGCCCTTTTCCCGATTCCCACCAGTCAGCAGTTGTCAGGGATCTAATTCATTTTTTTCACCTCCCTAAAATCTCAGTCAAACTCTGATACAGTCCTGTGAGCCGCAAACACCCCATCCCTGCGTACAAACCTGACAAAGCTGTGCTGTGACGATTACCTTTGCAATAACATCTGCGGTTTCACGGAAATCGTGGCATCTTCCGACATTGGACCGGGCCAGAAAGTCCTCTATTAGCCGAACCCCGATGTTGTAACCCCTGTGAACGTACCAAAGAGCGACAGCTACAGAGCGTGAAACTTTAGAGAGCCAACGTTCATGAAAGACGAGAGTGGAGGACAGTTAAACCCGGGAAATGCCAGTATTAAGTAAGATTCAGTCTGGCAGGGTTTTATTCGCAGAGCAGCACACAAAGACAGGCCCCACCGACAGCTCCAGCACGGCTCCGCTGCAGCAGACCCACTTACATTTTGTCAAGCTGCTTGTTGACGTCCTCATCGTTCTCGTAGTCCTTGCAGAGCTGGGTGACCAGGGCACCGTAGGTCAGCGTGAAGAGCTCCGAGTTCTAGACAGAGCAGAAGGGAGTTAGCACAAGCCAAAGAGAAAACTGACCGAGCCCTGCTGCATCCGTGTCCAGCGCGGCTTCCGCTGGCCTGGAGAAGGGACCAGGAACCTGCTGTCCCAAAGGAATTAGCTGCTTAATAACGAGAGATCCCAGTTCAGATTTTGGCAACTTTGGCCTCCTTGGAATGAGAAATCCTCTTTGTTTTGGAACAACTGGGCGCTTGCTGTCCCTCCCTCTCTCCACACGCAGCACTTCCCATTAACGTGTCCCGAATCTGACCCGAGGAGCCAAGCCGGGGCCTGCAGCTGCTCTTAGCAACTCACTCAGCTGGCAATGAGCATCTGCTTTAACAAGCACATCCCCAGATAACTGGGATGACAACTCCAGCTTATTTCGTGTGACCACCGCCTGGATGGCTGAACGTGCAGTTGTCGGGGACCTGAATTTTATTTCACCCACTGACCTCGAGGTGAAAACCGGCTCAAACTGCTGTTGCCTGTGTGTCACGAACACGCTGCAAATGGGCAACACTCATCAGGCTCCATTTTTGGTCCTTTCAACAGGACAAAAAATGCTTGTCCGTTCACCGGTTTATTACGTTCTGCTACCAGAAAAAAGCAATGCTCCGTTCCCTCGACAGTTCCCTACGGACATCAGTTGCTTCACACATTAACGTCAGCTCCTCGGACCCAGCAAGGCCGCTTTCAGGTCAGCTCAGCGGATCCGTGTTGTGCACGTCCGCTTGCTGAGCCTGGCTAGGATCAAAGTTCCTCAGGCTGTCTTTGCACGGATATGCCGAACACACGGAGAGGAGAGGTCTCCTCTCCCAGCCACCACCGTCACCGATCCTCAACCTGAAGCAACTGTGTCAAAGTGCATTTTCTTGGGAGCCATTAAGCCGGCTCTGTGATCCTACACTCACTGGAGACTGCGGAACAAGACGCTACAACAGGCTTTAGCTTTTCACAGAACCCGAAGAAAGTGTTTCAGGAACAAATAAACCACCGTAATTTATTTCTGCTTTCACTGTTAGCACTCAGAAACATGACAGAGCCCAATCTCGGATTAAAAGCCTATCACCTACCATGAGATGCATAGATGCAGAAGGTGAAATGAATGGCAAATACCAATACTACAGAATGAAAGCAGCAGGCGGGCAGAAAGGGAGGGAAAAGAGACAACGTCAGAGTTAAGTGACAACACCGATCACACTTCATTCCCAACAAGTTTACCCAAAGTCAAGGCAAACACGAGGAGGAATCACTCCCAAACATTCCACAGATAGAAATCAGGTTTGTTAGAAGACGCAGGGAATTCCACCTTGCCGCTGTAAATCACAATGTCGCCATCAGTGCTCCCAAAAAGCTTTAAGCACGTGAAAAGACCCAGCCAGGCTCCTTGGTACTTTTGCCCAATTTTAGATCTAAAAAAAAAGTGACACATTCTTTGGGGTTTTGTTACTTACAATTTGCTTTCAGCTCGGAAAGACAAAGTTCATGTCGCTCAGGAGCGAACGACAAGGTGGAAGTCCCCTTTAGCTCAGACACTTGGCAGAGAACAAACGTGCAACAGAAGGTTAGACTATTTTTAAGGATTTCAGTAATTTTAGTAAAGACAGAGCTTGGCAGCTGGAGAGAGCGGGGTGAATGCGTGGAGGAAATCCAGCTGTTACCAGTCCAAGATGCTGTCATTACTGTGTAAAGCCACGAAGCCATCACCTGCTGTTATCAGCCCCAAGGCGTGCTAACCCTGTGCTGGCCATAGCTACCACCTGCGCCGCTGCTCTTCAGGTAATTTAACGTGTCATGACAAGGCAAACTTCTGAATCTGTATTTGTAAACGCACTCTTAATTTTCAGTCCATCTAATGGCATCAAAGCGCCTGATACTTTTCCCATTATTTATATTTTTCGTATTGCAGACTAGCATATAGTCTCAACACTATAAACCATTCTCTGGCTAGAAAAATGTCAGAATCATAATGAAATAATGCCAATTCTTTACATAAAAACAATGGTATTTATTTAAGGAGTTGAATCGATAGGAGGGAATCCCTCGAGGTGTGGAGGGGGCTGGAGCAGGCAGCTGCCTGGCCTCTGCTGAGCTGAACCAGCCCGTCAACATGGCCAAAGAGGGAGAAAAAATAGGGTTTATTTTTTCTTGCTTTCAAATATTGACACTGGATCGCAAAATGAATAAATCTGCAGACGGCAGCTCTGGTGTTTTGCTCTCCAGCTCTCGTTTCTCAGCTGGACTGATAACACAGAATCGGGTTAGGGAGGAGAAAAGAGAAAAGCGTTTGCGTTTTGCCTGCGGTTTCCATGACCGGCCGCGTGCGGTCTCAGCCTGATCTCTGACCCCGACCCACGGCAGCCAGCT